AGTAATTAGTTTACTTTGGCCAAGTGAGTCATTTAATTAGTCTTGTAAGATGTATTAGGTATCAGTTGCTCAACTTTTACGACTGTAAATACTTGATAATATACCAGAAACGGAAGTCATTCAAACCCAGCCTTTTATTCGGAAATTCTATTTTTTGTAAGAAACAGAGATATGAATAAAACCGGCAAAATCTAAGGCCGTCTGCTGATACGTTTCCTTTATCATTTCAAGAGATGTGATGTATGATTATTTTTCTTATTTCCTTTTCTTATAAGAACCTATTTTCGATGCAAGATATCTGAGAACTCTATTTGAAAGTTGACAGGTGAAATCTCTGATGCTAAAATTTCGACGAGTTCTTGTATATTATATTCCCATGATGATGGTATTTTGACTGACAGTCTCTCTCGGTGTGATTTTTGGTCGAGTTTTAAAAGCATATACAGGATGAGCTTTTACTGTGTGTTCGATTGATAAATCCGTTATAACGCATGGTAAGGTAATTACAAAAATTTTAGTCAACAGTATGATCCTTATTTGGAAAATATTTTTATTTCTACATGATGATACAAAACTGCGCCCTAAAAACTACCTAGTCTGCAGGTTGACATCTTATAGGTTTTTTTTTTAACGTTTTATAGGTTTTTTACATAATACCCGTGCGGATATCAAGGTAACTGAACAATATTACAATACCTTTCAAAACAAAAATAGCAAAAGTTAGTAGTGGCAGAAGACTAAAATTTAGATATTTTGATTACAAATTGAGTCTACCTAACCTTGTGCAATGAAATCCGAAAGTCAAGGAGGTGTCAAGTCAACGCAGGGGTGTTTTTATTGACTAAGAACCAGTTGCATGAACTCACATTCACCTCAAATCAGATAAAATCTTGTGAAAAGGAAAATCAAAAAATGTAAAATGTAAACGGTGTTCCATTTGAAAGTTTTGAGAAATCTTTCACTTTACGTTTTTGACCACCCTCTGTAAACTAATAAAAAATTGGAAAAGTAAGTAAAAGAAGAGAAAATGTGGGATCATAAATTTTTTCTGACCAAAAAATCAGTTGTACAGCTACATCAGTTGCAGAGGTACCAGTTGTCATATATGACAGATTAACCTACATCTTAACATATTTAGAAATAGAACAACAACTATGTAATATGCTTTAATATGCTATATCAACAACAAGTCTTGTTTGGAAGGGTCTATCTGAATCTGCAACAAAAAGTAGGCCTTCCAATTAAAAAAAAATGTATGTTTGTGTCACCACGTAATTGTGAATCACCCTGTAGAAATAAAAGAATGTTCCAAATACGGAGCTCACCGTTGACTACAATTCGAATAACCTTTTTATTTACCAAGTCTGTGAATAAAAGGAAGTTGCAACTGGTACAATCCCAAATGGAACAATGAGAGTAGTCCCACTATTTTCTGTATAAAAGTTATTCTCTGTATCATGGACGAGTGCAAAACCTAAGACTGCAACAAAAATCTGAACAAGATGTTACAAAAATCCTCAGAATTTACAGGAAGAAAACATAGAGAAATTTTCAGAATATTTTCGATGCATTGTATTCTGTTTTAAGCATTATTTGTCGATATTGTATTTGGCATTGAGGCTGCTGTGTGCTTGGGCGCTTGTGTAAATCTATAACTAATTGAGTCGTTTGTTGTAGTTAAACCAAATAGGTGATATTTTGATAACATAGGCATGATATAATGTAATTACGGCCAGTGGCTGTTACGGTACGAACATAGTGGAGCGACGAGGTTTCAGATTCAGATATCTGGTAGCGTCTAGAGCGTAGAGGCAAGAGGCACCTATGGTTATAGTAGAGCGTCGCGTTTTGTCGAAGATAGACGTAAAAATATGTATTCCGACAGTGACGATGACATTCTTCTCAATAATACTTACCTGCAAGTGCTTTTAATGACTGGAGTGCGGCAGTGTAGTGTGCACGACGTAAATAAAAGTCGGAAACGCCTAGGGGAATTCCATCATTTATTTCTAGAACTGAAAAATTATCCCGACAGGCTATTTGACTACATTCGAATGGAACTTGCCACCTTTCAGTATATATTAGAACAAGTTACACCCTGCATCAACAAGAAATGGACAAATTTTAATCAAGCGCCTATAGGAACCGAAGAAATGTTGGTGGTAACAATTCGGTAAGAGAATATTATGTATTAAGGATAATACTTTTATTATTCATAAACAAACAAACGGTAACGCAAAATAATATTCTGTCTTCTGAACACAACGAACGATAACTTATAATAACTTATAATGTTTACTGATCTGCGTAATTAAACCCCTGCAACAAATGGGATGAATGTGCAAACGATGTTTGTGGTTGAGATGTATATGTCGGGCTATGATTAACAGAATGACTGACATTGATGGTGGACTGATTGTTCGAGTACTCTTCATAGGCATACTTCTGAACCAAATTTTGAATTTCATTGCGGAACTGAAGTTTTCGATGAGGCCTAATTTTCACCACGTGGGGCAAAAGGCTATCAAAAAACAGTTTATCGTCATCTGTGACTGGTAGGGCTCTGCCACGGTCTGCAGCGACACGTTTCTCATCTAAATATTGTAGTTTTTTCTTCTCTATCTCAAGAAAAGCGTCAAGTTGATTTGACCGTTTTCGGGCCCTATTCTTTAGAATAGTTCGTGGTTCTTTTGGTGTGCTTTGAATTGGAGTGACTGATTCTGTGTGGTCGGGTTCTGTTTCCTGCGTTTCTACACCCTGCGTTTCGTCCATTTCGTCTTCGTCATAGTCACCATCATTTTCATCCATCTGCGTAGAGGGTGTCGAAACTTGTGTGTCATTGTCGGGATCCAACAGGTTGCTATGACTGGATCTCGGCAGAAACTGGTCTCTCAGAAACAATAAACTTTTGAAATGAGGCCAGGAGCTCTTTTTAAGAGCCTCTTCGCCTGGATCACCAGACCGGGGCAGAGGTATTTTCTTCAGTTCTTTTCTGAAATAATCACGTAGATTTTTCCACTTCTCAGAAACTTTCTTAACTGCAACAAACAAAAATTTTCAGATATCTTGCAACAGGAGCGTCCTTTAGACACTTGGCATTTTCCTTTCGAATGGGCAGGAGTACTGTTGCGAGCATTATAAAACATATGATTAAAATATTATGGAACATGCTGCAACCACTTCACATGCCAGAACCTACTACGGCAACATTTTTAAATGTAAGTGCAGACTTCATGAAAGTATGGAACTTCCCCAATTGCATCGGAGCTGTTGACGGCAAACACGTCAAAGTTATAGCACCACAACATTCCGGATCCATGTACTTCAATTATAAGCATTATTTTTCTATCGTCCTACAAGGAGTTTGCGACGCAAATTACAAATTGCTTGTGATAGATGTCGGAGGTTACGGCAAACAGAGCGATGGGGGAACGTTTCAGAGTTCCAATTTGTACAAACGGATACACCAAAACAAACTAAATGTGCCAAATCCAGATAGTTTACCAGGAACAAATGTCCGCGCTCCCTACGTATTTATTGCAGATGAAGCGTATCCACTAATGCCCAATTTGCTAAAACCATACAATCGAAGGAACCGCTCTTTGGAACATATAAATTTTAACCAAAGATTGTCCAGAGCACGCAAAACTATCGAGTGCACCTTTGGAATTATGTACGCGAAGTGGCGTCTTCTGTCCAAAGCTATAGAGACTACTGAAAAGACTGCGGATGATATCATTAAGGCGATATGCATTTTGCATAATACAATACTGGACCGAGAGGGATTTCAACGACATTTAACATTAGTAACTGATGCAGTTCCTAGAGATCAGATGTTTGAATTACCTAGAGGAAGGCAACTGGGTGAAGGTCAAAGAGTTCGCGACATTTTCTGTAACTATGTTAATTTCTTTCCAATCAGTTACGAGACAGCTTAAAATTTTACCGCAAGATGTAAGTTCTAGCTGTTGAAATGTGTATAAAATACAATTATTTACTTACCCGACTGATTATTGCATTCATTGGCTACCTCCTCCCATAACTTATCTAGCACGTATCGGTTGCGATGATCTGGATGACTCTGATCCCATATAGCCCTTCTGTGATATACACTATTTATTAATTGCACAACATCCATTATTAAATCGCTTGAAAACGCGTGACAAAAATTGAATGCAACTATTTAAAACTCGTCGCTCGAAACCTCCTAGAGACTCGACGCATGCCTTATCGCGCTACTATGGCCCGACAGGTTTCAACCTGTGTTTTTGACTCACATAGCGGCAAACCGCGCGGTTAGCCTCTATCTGAATCTGAAACCTCGTCGCTCCACTATGTTCGTACCCTTATACAGACCGTTTGTAATTATTTCCCGACTATTACTCATCATGTCTAAAACTTGTCAAACATCTGGTCCCTAAAGCCGCTTGTAAGTGAACTGTTAATTGTTACCAAAATTATGCCTTGTAAATAGTAAACAAAAGTTTTTTAGATATATTGTGTTCTGTATGTACACTGTCTAAAGTCTATACTATTAGCGTTCTCAGTAGTAGTTGTAGTAGTATGAGTAGTAGTTGTAGTAATAGTAATACAGTTAGTATGTATAGCTTAAATAATTGCTTTCATGTGCACATTCATTCCAGCCACACACTGTAACCAGTTACACCACTGACGTTACTGACGTTTCGGTTACATTCACAGGCGAAAATATCACACTTTAGTAGTTCCACTCGCCCTGATTCCACAAGATATATAATGGAGACATAGACAAATCAGTTTTTGAAGTTAAACTATACTACGCTACACACAACAAGCCTAATAAGTCCAAACACTTTGCAGACCCAAAACACTGCAGCAGATGTTTTGTTAACTAAAAACGTGCAGTGGGACATATGGAGATCTACAAAAAGACATATGAGGGATTTTGCTCTATAAGGATGCTAAAAATATTCCAGTTCATCTTATGGTACTAATGAATAATGTTCGTTTTTTGTGTTTTAATGGTTATTACGGTAGTAACTTCATTTTTTCATATTTCAGAACCAATTGTTCACCGTCTTATAAGACGAAACCCTAGAACGACATTTCCTAGTTTTCACGTAGTTTTTGAAACATATACGCCAAGTAAGTAAGGCATCATTCACTTTACTTAATACAACCTCATAACAACTAATGCTATGATACTTAGCGATCAGCTCAAACTAAACCGAACTGCTTTCTCAAAAGTATGACTATCCTTTTTCACTTATAACCTTCGCTGGAATTTATTGACCAATAAACTATACAAACTAACTACATTTTATCATTTTCATCACATCAGTTTAATCTTCCGACTTTCGGTTACATTCTGTGCTTTAATACTATTCGAGCTGAAAACAGCCGATAAAACAGAAATTGCTCTACATGTTGTTCAGCCTTTGCTCCTCAAAGTTTTACGGACGATCAAAGTACAAAAATAAGAACTGAAAGCATTGAATTTTCGGCCAGCTTTATCTTTTTATCATGAAATCGTTTATTTTAGCATTCAGACCGAGATCCCTGTATAAGTTAGTAAGCAACTAAGACGTCCAATTATTTAATGGTAGAGCAAGTTGGAAGTTTTTATAAGGTGCGTGTAACTACTTCTGCTATTCCTACCATCTGAGCTATTTTTCATTGCCGATGAAAGACTTAAGCCGTAAACAACCAAACGTTGTCGAGGTAGTGTCAGGATACCACAAGGTGCCAAGACAACGAATTGGTACTCATCCCAGAAGACCAGTCGGCCGCAACCTGTTAAGAGTACGTGTCTATAGGTCATCAATGTCTAGCGGCGTATTCTCTCTAACGAATTCCACATATATCTTAGCATTTGTTTTGCAACTGCTCAGCTGTACTATGAATAAAAATAAACTATTACGGGGAACACAAGCATGCAGGCTTAAGTGGTGTGATCAAACCCTTCCCTTTGAATACAAAATACTAAATACTAAAATCGCCCGCCCAATATAACGAACAGAATAGAACAGTGCCCTTTAGGATGTCTTAATCACTCCCGGTGCAAGATATACATTATCGATTAAACGTCAAAAGATCCGATGCAGCAAATCAGAAGCAGACCCACGAAGCATCAAACTTGCGAAATTATTAAAGCACCCTAACTTCCGGGGCAGTATATTAAATCTCTGGTTCTCAGAAGTTAGCTTGATTTTAGCTCTGTTGCTCGATAAGGAGCTGTTAAATGCGCGTTTGTCTGAAACGGGGTGTTAGGAGTACGTAACTTCAACTCTTCACTCAGGTTCAAGATATAACTTCCCCACTTGTCTAATTATCTTCAGACAAGTATGCCTGAATTAACTGACAGTACATGCTCAGCTTATTAAGTGAGATTCATATACAGGCTCAAGACAAGATTTTTTCAATAGAACCATTTTCGATTATTTGCCTTTCGTTGCTTGTCACCAATGCACCGTACTCGTGCTAAAAAGCATAAAACACCATTGTATAGCAATGGTTATGGTCACATAGACGGAAAGCAAACAGTGAATCGCTACCAACCGGTTGGGGCTGTAAGATCTCAGTCCGCGAATGGTGGCCCAGCCACCACGTGATTGCCAGATATCAACGATTCCAGCTCCAGCTCTCTCCATTGAACAAAATAAATTCGTCCGTCCTATCAAACATAGCCAACCATGGACAGCTATGACGTGCTTTTTTCTATGTTCTGGTTAATTGTACGGGAGATCCAAACCTAGACCATATTGAGGAGTAGCCAAAAAGCACGAAATAGCTGTCCATGGTTGGCTATCTTTTATCGGACGGACGAAAGCGGAACAGGTCAATTTTATTTTATGGCAAGCTGACCAAATCTACTATACAGCCAGAATGTCCCCATCTAGCGGTCTTGTCAAGCCGTCTTATTTCGATTTATATACAGGGTCATTAAGAAGACTGGCAAATAAAACAAGAAGGACCGCAAAAAATTGCATTGAAGGTTCTTATAGATGTGAGTCCTAAAAGCCTATCCCATACGTATGCTTAGTTGCTATCAAGGAATAATTAGAACCCTTCTTCTATGAGAAAAATTTTGCTTAACTTGGTCTTCAAAGTAAGATATTTACTACTTGACTTGAGTTTGACTTGATATTAACAACGTTAATCAAGCCAAGTAGTTTTTACGTCAAGTAGTCTTGATATTACACGACAACTTTTGTAATATAAATACACAAGTTTCAGAGAAAACAATACATATTGAACAAAATAATTTGTTTATACAGAGTGTCCGAGAATATGTAAATCAAATTGCAATAGGCGATACCTTAGATTATGACCTCTCAATTGCGGCACAGACCTGACAGAAAAAAACGTGTAACCTTTGCATTAAAACAAAAAATCAGTTTTTTGGAAAAAGTATGACTTTCGTAAAACTTTCGACGACAGGTGCCGCGTTTAGGGTTTATTTTCATTTTTTTTCACTATTATTATCAGGGAATGATTGAAGCATGAAACTACAAACAGTTTTATTCTGAAAGTCACGTAATTTTGAAATCGCAGCGCTATTTTGGATTTTTTTTTCTGCATCAAAAAGTTTCTTGTAAGTTCGACTAACAGTGGTATAAGAAACATGTATGGGACTTGTTTGGCAAACCTCTCCGAAAAATAGCCCAGTTAATGAAGATTCGAAAATGGTACAAATCAGGTAATTTACCACAACAGAGTAGGAGAATAAAAATTCTTAGCGTGCAAGGGCGAAATTGGTCAAATTTCAAAATTACAATTTTTGAATCATAATTGCCTGTACGTTCAAACCATTGCGTGAAACCTTAGAATCGGCATCAAAAAGTTGTTTCAATGTCCGGTAGACTGAACAAAACACATGCTAGCTCGCCCAAGGTTGGCTAAAATTATTTGTGTTGTCGCACTTATTCCCAGAATTTAGAAGGGGGGCAGGGGCAGGCAGCGCAGGTAAAAACTGGATCGCGATAACAATACTGCCTCACTCTAGCGTTTTGTGTTATTAGTGATGTTGACGGAACGGGGCCCCCCGCGGCGACGCGATGCTGATCTCACTCTCATCCTTTTTATTCAGTACGACGTTTGACGCTCTGTGCTACACCTGTGTTCTAATGTCTCCTGTGATTTAACTGTTACGATCTTGGCTCTACTGACTCGACTTTGAACATTTTTTGCTCGTGATTCGGATTTGTTTGATGAATCTCAACGACTTGGCGCTACTATGGAAATTGATTTTCTGCACATTATGGCTAATCGACGACCAGATGAACATTGTTACACGGCAAGCGAGTATGCTGACATGCATCTTGCTTATGGAGGAACAAGGCGTGTTAACACTAGAGGTGGAGCAAGTTGTTCTGCCAGGTAAGCTGCCAGGATTTACGCTGAGCGAACTTTTTTAATCGAGTTTTGTAGAGTGACGAATCCACCTGTAAGAAAGATGGCTACACAAATCTCTACAATCTACATAGCTGGCAAATATCAAACCCTCATTTAATAAGAGAGGACCGTTATCAGTACCCGTTCAAAATCAATTTATGGACTGGGATTTTTAACGGCAGAATTGTGGGTCCAGTGGAATTACCTGCAACATTAAATTCGGCAAATTATTTAGAACTATTGAGAGACACATTGCCGAGACTTTTAGCAGAAGAACCAGAGGATTCAATACAAACAATGTGGCTACAAAATGACGGATGCCCAGCCCATTTTGCACGTGAAGTGAGGGCCTACCTTGATGAGGCTTTTCCTAGGCGGTGGATTGGCCGTCTGGGGAAAATTCTATGGCCACCAAGGTCGCCAGACCTAAACCCTCTAGATTTCTTTTATTGGGGTTGCCTCAAAGATAAAATTTATTCGCGACCGAACGCACCGATTGGATCCCTGGAAGAATTAAGAGAGCGTATTAACCAGGCTGCACAACAAATTTCTATTATGAGCTTGCGGCGCCTAAAACAAAATTTTTTGAGAAGATGTGCATTGTGCATTCATACTGGTGGCAGACACTTTGAATATATTTTATGAGAATCGTAATTGGTTACTTCTTTATTGATGTTTTTGGTTGATTAAAGTTGAAAACTGAAAGTACTTTTCTGTGTTTTCTTAAGTTTACCTTACATTGAAACACCAGTTCTTGATTCTTATACTTTTTTAAACAAGTATTGAGCTGTTTTACGATAGTTTGAACATTCGATCAACGTGAAAAGCAATTATGATTTGAAAAGTGTAATTCTGAAATTCGACCCATTTCGCCCTTGCACTCTAAGAATTTTTATTCTTCTACTCTGTTGAGGTAAATTACCTGATTTGACTTTTAGAATAAAACTGTTTGTAGTTTCATGCTTCAATCATTCGCTAATAATAATAGTGAAAAAAAATGAAAATAAACCCTAAACGCCGCACCTGTCGTCGAAAGTTTGACGAAAGTCATACTTTTTTAAAAAAAAATGATTTTTTGTTTTAACGCAAAGGCTACACGTTTTTCTTGTCAGGTCTTTACCGCAATTGAGAGGTCATTATCTAAGGTATCGCCCATTGCAATTTGATTCACATATTCTGGGACACCCTGTAGTATAACAAATAAAAGAAGGGTATACTGTACACTCAAGTAGAAAAAACGGTTTTTCATCAAGTGATACAGAAAAATTCTGATTCAGTCTTTCATTCTCTGACCAGAGATTAAGGCACAGGGGCCCTAACAGATGTATCGCTTTATCTGTTGCGGGGTTCCGTAATGGTCAGTGCAGCCTTCGAAACTTCCCTTCCAATGGACGCTGATGTTGCAGGTGTCGATAAAAAACTTCTTGTCACTTAAATTAGATTTGGAAATACATTTCCATTTCAGATTGCATTAAAATACAAAAATACGGTGCATCGGTTGTATAAATCAATATCAAGTAGAAAATGCTTGACTTCAAGTCAAGTAGAACAATAAAAAATCAAGTCAAGCATTAACGTTCCAGGTAATTGTATTTTTAAGTCAAGTAGTTTCTAAAAATATCAAGCTACTTGACTTGATAAATCTCTACTTCAAAGGCACACTTTTGAAATGCACTCCTCAAGATTACAGGACCTACACAAACATAACAAACAGCTGCTTATACAGAGTGATTCAAAGAACAATGGCACTACTTCTATAGCAGAATTTACACAGGAAGATTATCAATATATAGAATGAAGTAAATTTATATGCAACTGGCGACTTTGATTTGCGATAAAACTTGAATATTCTTGAAATAAATCAGAAATGAACAAAACATACTCATCAGATTACATTTACCAGAATTTTGGTAATTACTGGTCTATAAGTGACTAAAAAGGAAGTAGTACATACAGTGATTGAATGGAATTTTTCCCTAGTACGCTTCACTATGTATACATCTTTCGCGGTTCAGCTGTGGTAACTTTAGCGTGTTATTAAAGTAGAATGAATTTTACTCACTTCAAATGCTCAAACTAATATTTTCACAAAAGGACCGGGCGAACAAATTTCAGTGGTGTACAAAATATTGATCTTGTCTCAAGGTCAAAATTTACCAGTTTTCACGCCACGATTTTTTGTGTGGTCTTCGTTGTGCAACTACGGAGTTTCTACTTGATACCTCCAACACCCTGCATTTTGGTAAGCGGCATTCTTATGAAACTTAGTTTCTGTTCCTGGAATAGCGTAAATGCATCTGTTTTCTGAATTACTGTATATCTTGCTTTATTGAGTACATTATAAACTTTTTTCTTCCAGTAGATATAGTGATTGTGAAGAATCTCGAATTCGGGATGATACGAGCACATTTTTGAGCCATTGATGTCGCTACATCTGCTGAGGGTATGCTGCCCTGCACTGCCTCTAACTCGAGAAATTTTATAATCGCATTCCGACTGTGGCATTGACTTATGCTTTGTAGTTTTTGCTAACTAGATCTTTACTCTCTTTACTTATAGAACGAAGTTTTGCATGATAACTGTTCTATGTTCGTAATTTGCTAGATTTCGTGGAAACTTGTTTAGGTTCCATGTCGCAGTAGTTCTATCTTCACTATATTTAGTTTCTACAGGAAAAACATGACTACATTGTACAAGCTGTCCGACTATAAATTGACCCCCCCATTTACTTTTTTATATGACCTTCTAGAATCTAGATGAAAATGTTGTATATAAAAATGATAGTCCAATATGAAGTTCGCCACGTATTATTTCTTTTGTATACCGGGTAACTCAGAAAAGTGCTATCGAATGAAGTTGTTTTTTTTAGATAGACAGCCCTGTATGGTTTGTTACACTTGTGCTCATTATTGTAATTAACAACTTGATAGTTTGTGTCATTTTATCATATGTAGTCAGCAGTGTTATTACGTAAAAAACCTACAAAATGTAAAAAAACGATAAAATGTCAACTTGCTGACTAACTAGGCTAGTGTGCAGGCGGTAGATTTGTGAATGATACCTAGTTCCGGATTGACGTTTTGTAGGAAAACCTATATAATGTCATGATAAATTCACATAATGTCAAAAACACGCCATAATGTCACTTTTCAAGCTACGTAATACCTCTATCGGCCCTATACCAACCAAATGCAAAATGGTTCGAACTCTAATGCACCTGAGTAAATGACACACAGTTTTTGGCCAAACTAATGAAGATAAGTATGATAAACCATATATTTTTTGAGCTTTAAAAAGGGACTATCATTTCCCCTAAAAAAATATTTTTTTTTATTATTTAAAAAAAAACGCAAATTTATCCGATAGCACTTTTCTGAGACACAAAAAAAGGTTACATGAAAAACTTCATATTAGACCCTATAACTTTTATATTAAACTCTTTTTTCGGGAAGGTCATATAAAAAAGTTACAGGAGGGTCAATTTATAGTGGAAAACATGATCATTGAATGAAGATGTCTTACACTTTTGCAATGAAATAAGTACAATAAATCCTATAACTGCATATGTTAAAAATTGAGATGAGTCGATTGATTTTTAAATATACGATATAGCACCTGACAAAAACCGTATAGAATGAGAAAATTGACATTTTCCAGTCCAAAAGCAAAGCAAGTTTTTAAAAAATAGAAAAAAGCTTTAGTAAAAGCACATAAAAACCGTTACATACAAAAGCATACATATTATCCATCATGGAGTAAAACATGAAGACAATACAATATTTGATACACTTCAGACACAATTGAACAAAAACACCGTGGAAATGATATCCTTACATGCAAAGTAGAGTTGGGTAGGCTCTAAACGAATCGATTCCGATCATCTCGAATGATTCCAATGATTTTGATTCCGATTCCTAAAACCGGGTTCTACCGTTCCGATCCCAGCATTCAAAGCAGGTTGTATTAGAAAGGACTGCTTAAAAGTAACGATACCATTCGGATTGTAATATCGCCGCTAATGCAATACAAATGCTTCGCAACAACTTTTTTAATTTGACGAAGAGAGAAACGATCTACAGTGTAATAATTGTGGTTTGAAGTTATTGTATCTATCTGGAGTTGCCATTTTGATGTTCAATTTATCGCAGAAGATGAAACTGAGAGAATAAGAATGGTATCAAATAAAGTTGATGATATAATAATAGCGGGCATGCATAATATAAAGCGTTTCAGGCAGCAAAGCCGTCTTTACCAAGCAAACAGTGGCAAGGTACATTATTAATTACTTCTTCGTCATTGGGCCGAGTGTGACCATAAAACGTTTCAAGTTAAGCCCACAGACTGTGAGAGTCCAACATCTTCACAATTTCCAATAGGACATCGGAAATTGTATAAAAGTGCCAAAAGGCCACCATCGACATCCGTTCCAGCCTGCTTCATGCTACAATCTCCGTGACCGCGCAACAGGAAAATGCATGCACAGTACACATGGAATAGAGATAGTATATTGAATATCCAAATCTTAGCAGAAACTTACATTCCAGTTCGTTAAACACCAGCCCGGTGGACTTTTGTAAGTGCTGGTATAGAAACGGTAGAGTCCAGGCTCAGGAATCGAGATCATCAGAATTGTTTTTATTCAGTGACGTCGTTTCTTTGTAGTCCCCACCAACCCGGGTGGTTTGTTTTAGAACTACGGAAATCGGAATCGACCGGTATCGAAATTAAAAGAAATCGTGATCATTTCGAAATAATCGGTTTCGAGATCGGAATAGAAGCCACGTGATTGATCACTGAAAGGAACGGTTTGGCCCAACTGTATTATCACACAGTTCGAATGAATACTTCAATTCATGGTGGGTGTGCGCCCTCATCGCAGATTATTGTAGTATGCACATTCACCATTATTGCAAAAATTAAAAAGGCGGGATCTTTCCTCGAATGTTCGAATTCTGCAAAAAATTAACAAATACATGAATCCTGTAAATCTTCACTGCAAACGTATCTTGATACGCACTGCATATATCACATTCACGCATTTGAAACTAGTGTGTGTTTGAACACCATTCTTTTTTGAAACATCATTATCAGCATTCTCCACTAATTCCATGTTGCAGATGAAGTAGCTACTCTCGCAGCCGAGGCAGAGAAGAAGAAACCTGAAGACCGGACAGAAAGAGAACGAATCGCCATCATGGGAAAACCTAGATTAGGCCCGACAAATCGAGCCCAAATCCGGATCAAGGAGAGTAAAGAATTTAAAGTAAGTACCTTCTTGTTTTTATGGCTCGGAATTTCTGTATCTTATCTGAATGTTATACTGGGTGTAACAAAAGTAACGGAATTACTCTCTATCTTCTTATACCGAAGCAGAATCTTTCAATATCAAGACTGTGCTAGTTCATAAACCATCTACTGGCAAATGATTATTGAATAAAGCCGATCCAGCGACTAAATGTACCTATGTTAACCTTGAACCAATCTAGAGCGTGATATAGACAACACACAACACAACACCCATGGCTCGAAATAAACTTTCAAGCTTCATCACTATCCTCTACAGGGTGTTTCAGAAACACATGCCGATATTTCTAGGGTAGAAAGTTACGGGTTTTCCACTAGGGGCGCATTTTTTGTGAGGTTGTCTAGGTTACGTTTGACAGTTGAAATGTCATGGTTTATTGACATTTGTAAACTACTATAGTTGGCAATTTATAAAATGGATCCGTACAGCGTGGAACAAGGTGTGCAGATAATTCAACTTTATTATGAAAATGGACGTTCAAATAAAAATGTTTTTCGTAAATTACGTGAGTTTTATCAACAGGATAATCGTCCAAAAATGAGTCAACAATATCGAGAATAGCGAGGAAATTTGAAGAGTTTAGTTTTAGATACAAAAACACCGATTCGTCCACGCCCAGGCCGTTCACAAGAGAATATTGCTGCAGTTCGTGAGAGTGTTCAACATGACCCAAGAATGTCGATTAAAGAGCGTTTTCAACAGGTGCATATTTCACAAACCACTGTTTGGCGTATTTTACACAAGGATTGGGCGTTAAAAGCTTTTAAGATCCAATTGACAGAAGAATTGAAGCTAAGCGACCATGCAAAACATCGTGAATTCGTTAATTTTATTAAGCAACAGGAAGAAAGATTATCAAAAAAATATGATATATAAATATGTTTAGCGACGAAGCACATTTCTAACTTAATTGGTATGTAAACAAACAAAACTGTCGGATTTGGGGTGAGAAAAATCCAAGAGTAGTTGTTGAACAAGGTTTACACCCACCAAAAGTCACTGTTTGCTGTGGTCTTTGGAGCGGTGGAGTGATTGGCCCTTAGTTCTTCGAAGATGACGCTAGACGTGCTATTACTGTGAACGGTCTTTGATACCGATCTTTTGTGGCCTGAAGTGAACAATTTTGATGCCCAAGACATTTGGTCTCAACAGGATGGAGCAACCTGTCACACATCACGAGACACAATTCAGTTATTGGAGCAGAAATTTAATGGTAACGTTATCTCCAGAAACGCACCTGTCAACTGGCCAGCTCGTTCGTGCAATTTGACTCCGTTAGACTTGAAATGCGAAAGACCTTAGCGGCCATCATTCAATACTATTTGGTCGGTTTTTGGGTAGTTAGGCCGTCGTAAAATATTCTTATTTGATGTTTCACCAACACGAGTGGTTGGCGAAACGTCCGTTAGACTTCTTGCTTTGGAGCTATGTTAAAAGTAAAGTCTACAGGAACAATCCCTAGACGATTGAAGCATGGACACAGGAAATGTGTAATCGCTGAGATAGAGCCGCAAGTATGTGACCGTGTCGTCGAGAATTTTAACAAAAGAATGACTATTTGCAAGTTATCACGGGGCGGTCATTTGCAAGATATCATTTTCCACACATAATTTTCTCAAATTGCCATACATGTATCTTTCATTTTAAATATATGTTATATTCATTCCACTTGAAATTCATTGTTTTATTACTTAATAAAAAATTGGGTCGATATTGGACAACCTTTTACATCCAAAAATAAAATGAAAAGTTTTTTCATAAATATGGATCCAAAGATGCTCCCCTATCGAGATACATGGTGATGAAGTTTTATGTACGAAACTGAAAAAAATAAATATACCTTCGGAGCGCGTAAAGATATTGAGATTTTAGACGTTCAGTGCGCAAGCATAAGCAATAAACATACAGTTTCCTGGGCCAAACTGAACCAGTAACGTAGGAACAGAGGTACCTGGACCCCTTATAGAAAATATTCTCTACGCCACTGGCATTTTCGGACAAAAGAAGTGCATTTTATGAAAGCCCGTTCAATTTTCCTTAAATTTTGTCTCTTAGTAAATTTTTGTCGCATCACCCATTTGGAGATATTTAGGTTTGAATATTTGAGGTAAAATCCTAAAATATTCTTATAAAAGTCTTCCCTATTATGAGAACACCGTCAAGCCTGTTGTTGGAAACAGTATATGGCATGTGAAGAAAGCTATGTCACCTCATTATATTAATTGAATAATACGCGTGTCTTATCCTTAATCAGTAGCGTACAATCATTACCCAGTTTCTACATCACTGGTTTAGTTTGGTCCAGGAAGCTCTGTGTATTTATTGCTTATGCTTGCGTCTAACATCTTAATTTAATAACTTTACCCGCTCCGTAAATATGATGTGCGAATATTTAAGGGTGTGAATCTACATGAAAAATTAATGTTAGTTTGCTCTATAAAGTATGGTCCAAAAATGTTTCCTTGCAAAAACTCGGGGTGTTGAAGTTTTAGGAAAACAATGGAAATTAATTAATATTTTCAGAACCGCTTCAGGTATTTCACTGATATTCAGTACATAGAGAAACTTAATAAAGTTGCATATTTTTCAATGCAAAAATAATCTTTCGCTTTAACAGTGGCGTGCGTACGGGTATTGACTTCGATATTTTTTAAGAAAAAATTGTACGCCAGTGGGTTTTTGTCAAATAAAAATTATGTTTGAATTCCCCGTTCAATTTAAAACAAATGACTTCTCTCGAATTGTTTTCCTTCGATGCGCCATTTTTGAGTATAATAAAAACTGTTCTATTGTCCGAGAAAATTAATATAATAATTGAAGAATGCAATTTAGCAATAAATATCTAGTTGCTCTAGAATATGTCACTGGCTTTTGACATCTGACAAGTCTCTGTTATTCAAATTTGTTCGCTGTTACATCTTTTTCATCATTTAGTTTTTACAATCTTGTTAATAATGGTGAATTATTCAAATACAGAAATAACGGAAATGCATTACCTCTATGGCCTTGCCGACGGTAAAGGAGAGCAGGCCAGATCGATTTATCACCAGACATATCCCGATCGTGCTTTGCCAGATAGTCGAACCTTTTCTAATATTCATCGTCGTCTTGTTGAAACTGGTTCTGCCCGAAAAGGAACATCTGAAGGTACACCTCTAAGTGTGAGAACACCTGAAATTGAGGAAGCAGTGCTGCACGAAGTCGAAGAACAAGTACGAGGAAGATCGCTAGACACTTAAATACAGGTATTTGCCATCAAATCGTTTGGAGAATTTTAGTGGATTTTTTTGTTATATCCTGACCATATTATATAAGAGTAGAGGCATTACTTCCCATTGATTTTCCAAGCCATGTGACCTTTTGTCAGTGGTATCTTCAAAAAATTACACAAAATCCGCAATTTGAATCAATGATTCTGTTCACGGACGAAGCAATTTTTTCTCGAAATGGCATTCAGACTTTCCACAATAATCACTTGTGGGCAGAAGAAAATCCCTATGCCGTAACCGAAACCCATTTTCAACACCAATTTTCGGTTAACGTATGGGCAGGAATTATTGGCAAGCACTTTATTGGCCCATTCTTCTTTCCGGGACGACTTGACGGACAGACTTACTGACTTACCTCAATTTTCTTCAACAACAGTTGCCTTTGCTGCTTGATGATGCTCCGTTAGTAATAAGAAACAATATGTGGTACATTCATGATGGTGCACCAGCGCATTTCAGTGTATCGGTTAGTAATTACTTAAAACTGTTCATCCAAATCGTTGGATTGGCCGCGGTGGCCCCAAGAATGGCCACCAGGTCCCCAGACCTCAACAGTTTAGATTTCTTTTTGTAGGGCTATTTTAAAACACCAGTGTGCACAAGTCTCATTAACACTGTAGAGGAATTAAGAGAAAGAATAGTTGCAGCTTGTAATAGAATAAAAAACACTCCAGGGATATTTCAGCAAGTGCGCAATTCCATGAGAAGGAGAGCGGGAGCATGCATACTAAGTGAAGGGGGCCACTTTCAACAATTTTTGCAATCATTTCGTTGGCTTTAATGTTATCGTTATGTTGTCAGTTTTTGTTGTTGTACATTACCCCTAATGTGTTTATTTTTTCCAATTAAATTAATAATAATTTAAAGTTAGACAATAGAACGGTTTTTATTTTTTTACTCGTAAATCGAAGGAAAGCAATTCAAGATAGATCATTTATTATAAATTGAACGAGGAATTCAAAGATGATTTTTATTTGGCAAAAAACTATTGGCGCACCATTTTTGCTTAAAAAATATCTAAGTCAATACCCGTACGCACGCCACTGTTAAAGCTAAAAATTATTTATGCAACTTTATTAACTTTCACTACGTACTAAATATCAGTGAAATATCTGAAGCGGTTCTGAAAATATTAATTAATATCCATTTTTTTTCTTAAACTTCAACATCCCGAGTTTTTGTAAGGAAACGTTTTTGGACCATAGTTTATGAAGCAAACTAACATTAATTTTTCATGTAGATTCACACCCTTCAATATTCGCAAATCATTAAGGAACACCCTGTATATTTTTTCCAATTTCGTAAATAAAACTTTCACCCTACCTACCTTATCGGTAGGGAAACATCTTTGGGCCCATATTTATAGGAACTTTTTCTTGCCATTTTTTGCTGTAATTTCTACTCTAGAAATATGGGCACATCTTTCTGAAACACCACGTATAAAAGGAAATGGAAATGCGAAATAATGACTTCACACATAACTGCACGATAAAGATTAATGAGGCACGTTAAAAAGCATCGCCAAATAAATTGATGAAGGCGAAATGCCGAATAAACGCCTTTTATTTCTCCAATTAGCATTATAAACTCTCCGGGAGAATCCAATTTGTTAAATTGGACTTTATGCCTCCAGCCGCTCTTCTGTATATCACGCTGAATTGGGAGTGTAGCGCTCAGTCAGCAAGATAGTTTGCTCGAATACTCTATAGAGAAAAAGAACAAACATAGCGGCCTACAAAATAAGCGGATCATTCGGAAGTTGCCTTAACTTTTAAACGCTTCCTTGGGATCAAATCAGGTCAGGAGTTCGTTGGTTTTTATTGCTCTTGTGACTTTTAGGATTGTTAACTAGGTGCTCTATGCCAGTTTTATTTTATAATGACTTTACGAAGGCAATTCTATGCGTAGGGTCTTCTATTTTACTTCCCACTTCGCTAACAAGTATTGTAGTAGACATTATAATTGCAAAAATGATCATAAATGAGGTACTGTGTCTTCTGGTGATTTTATGGCCTTGTAGACGGTGGGGATTTGTAAATATTGCACCTTTGGCATTCGTGAAAGTCACTTCATTATTAAGTTTTGTGCAAAATCTGGATCCATGTACTATAATCCTACGCGTCATCGGACTGCAACGGACTAAATAAAACATACTACGCTGCCACACAGTGTCTATCTACAGCGTGTCCGAAAATGGTGCTAGAAGAAAACGTTGAATACAAAAGTTTTCGGAAATGAAGTGGCGCATCTAGTGGTGAGCTTGGATTTGACGCTGACATTCGCCTTGAAGATCATTTCAACAGCAAGTTGATTTTTTCAAATGGGATCTCCCATCTTTTAGTACAGAAATAGAAAGAGGAAAAATTCTCCATCAACGGTATATACAGGGTGGCCAATATATAACTGACTGATTTAAATTGCGCGCCATTTTTGATACATGCATTTCAGTAGGTGGCGCCGTAGTACATGCGTCCAATTCATCATGGAGAGCTACACGATCCCACAACGCGTCCGTATTGTTAAAACGTTTTACTTAAATAACAAGTCAATTGTTGCGATTCGCAAGTTACGACAAGATCTGGGTCGAAATAATGTGCCCACTGTCAACATTATTCGCCAGTTGGTGCGAAAATTAGAACAAATAGGTGAAGTTGAAGACTTGCCAAGGTCAAGAAAATAGGAAAATATGTGAAAGTGTGGTGGAGCGCCCTGACGCGTCTACCAGACAGCGCTCTCAAGAACTGGGTATTCGTCGCACGTCACTATGCACTATTTTAAAACAAGACTTGCATTTGCGGCCATACAAAATTCAGTTAAACCAAGAACTACAGCCTAGTGACCATGAAGGTCTTCGACAATACAGTCAAGCAATATTGCAGCCTAGTACCCAAAGTAACGATTTTTACCGACAACTGATAATGAGCAATGAATCCTACCTCGATATAAACGGATTTGTTAAAAAGCAACGACACTATACTCTGGGCGCTGAAGAAAGACATTAAACGTAAACAGTGATCAGCACGTGAACAGATCCCTCGAAAGCATCCACGGATATACTCCAGTCACTTTAGGTCTAAACATCCTCGGCAGTGTATTTCTAGTGAATCCACAGACCCTTTTTCGTGTCATCTTGAGACTAGAAAAAGGATGACTGTTAAAATAAGTTACCTTGATCTTTCATGAGCTCCCAGTACAAAACATCATCGATATATTTTTGATGTAGGAACAACAAATTGGTTTAGAAAACATCCACTTTGAACCTAAATTGACTGGAGTAACATCGATCTACAGACAAATTCAAGGTCACTAGCAGTCGTCGGCGCTCTACGAATCTGCACAGGTTTGGACTTGTAAACGTGATTGTAGATGACACGACAGGCATCTAACAGTTAATTCACGCACAGGATTGCATTGCATACGCAATACGCATTCAGTAGCGTGTACTCGTTTTTCGCGAGTGGAACGTTTTGTTTATATATTGCCTAAGATACGATGTCTGACACAGATACAGCCGACGAAGTGGTTGACATCAGCGCAACCCCACCCAAAAAAAGGGCTAAGAAGCTACATTTAAGTGCAAATGAAAAACAAATAATATTAAATATATACAAAAACCAAATTCAAGAAAAACCAGATTTGGTCGTGGACGAAGTTATATGTAAGGTAGCACATATTTCTGGAGTATGTCGGTCCAGTGTTTATAGGATCATTAAGGAATATAGGAGCACTCACTCACTTTCTGAGCCAAAACCGTATCCTGCAAGAAAAAGGATAACGGACGGAGTAGATGACTTTGACAGAACTGCCATCAGGAGGAAAGTGCATAATTTTTTCTTCCGAAATGAGATACCTACAGTAGATGAGATATTAAGATTAGTTAATGCTGATGAGGATCTTCCATCATTTAAAAGAACCACATTCCGAAAACTTTTGAAGGAACTTAATTTTCGATTCTTGAAACGGGGAAGAAACAGTATGTTAATAGAGAAAGAAGAAATTGTTGTGTGGAGAAGGGAATACCTTAGGAAGATTCGGAAGTTTCGCGATGAAAAAAGAAAAATTTACTATTTGGACGAAACGTGGGTGAATGCTGGACATACTCAAGCGAAAGTTTGGGTCGACAAATCAGTAACATCATCAAGGCAGGCTTTTCTAGACGGTCTTTCGGCTGGATTGAAAAATCCTGCAGGTAAGCTCCTTCATCTCTCCGGCAATTTAATTTTGATAAATTCGGGCAAATAATATGCTGTGATAGCAGATAATGTGTGATATTCTCCAAAAATGGTGCATTTGCAGTGTAGTCATTAGGAAAAAAACTTCGACCCTCTTTTAAGCGTTATTTTGAAATTTATTATCATTTTTGGGTGCAGTCAATTTGCTTTGAATGGGTTTTGAGAAGTTGCAAACTTCAATTTTCTACGTTTTTCAGTTTTTGATCAGCATTCCGTGACTCTTAAATTCAGCTAAATGAACTCAATTGCCTCATTCCTTCAAATTTAATCAATCCATAGTGTAAGGAATAATTTATTTCCAGGAAAAGGCAAACGGCTGATCATTTGTCACGTAGGTAGTGAAGACGGCTTAGTTCCCGAAGCACTGTGGGCCTTTGAATCAAAAAAGACAGGGGACTATCATGAGGAGATGGACGGCAATTCCTTTGAAAATTGGTTCTCCAAAATGTTACTAAAGCTGGAGAATAACGCTGTTATTGTACTGGATAATGCCCCGTACCATTCTAGAAAAATAGAAAAAATTCCCACAATGGCAACTAAAAAAGCAAACATACAACAATGGCTGGCCTCAAAACAGATCGATTTTGATGAAACAATGGTCAAGGGTGAATTGATAAG